CTGCAGTGCCACTGAGCCCTTTCCTTCCATCCCTGCCATTCCCAAGGTGACAGAGCCCTGTGCTGCAGTTCATGGCTCGAGCCTGCTGCTGGCACAGAGAACGTGGGGGCACCAGAGCTCAGGGCTGTGTCCAGCTGTGACCTGGGTGAAGCTGCTCCATGGGCTCATGGGAGCCAGGGTAGACCCTGCAGTGGTCACCAAGTGGGATCTGACACATCCAAAGGGATATCCAAAAGATCCAAAGGGACCTGCTGGCCCTGTTACTGGGATCTCCTGGTAGCAGCAGTGGAGACTTGGAGCACCCCCTTACCTGAGGGTTCCCCACCCTCCATGGCTGCAGATAATGGGCAGCTCCCCCTCAAATAAATCATTCCCTCTACCTGAAATCAAGGTAGAGCCCAAACTGTGCCTCACCAAGTTGTCTGATCCCAAGGCCCTGCACATCCTTAATCTGTGACACGTGCCTGAACTCATTACAAGGCTGGACATCAGCAGGCAGGGTGTTCAGGAGAAGATGCAGTGTTCCTGGAGAGCTCAGCTGATACTGTACTAAGGAACAAGGACATTGCATCCCTCTTGACAAACCTCACTTCGTGCTACCTTCTGATGCTGCAAAATGGACATTTAAGTTCCCTGCCAGGTCAGCCATTCATCACAAACACGTGTAGACTTAATTGCTAATTAATTTTCCCTGGCTACTGTAGATTTTTTCTTCCCTCAGTGTGTGAAATCTAGAAGAACTTTGTTAGAACCAGCCACAGATGAATTGGCTGTAATCAGTGTTCCCTCACTTGGTGAGAAGTAACAGTTCATCAGCCCTTAATTAGCTCTGACTTTTCTGAGAACAGTCTCCAATTTTTTGACAGGGAGATATATATCTTGTTTCTCTTGTAGCAAAACAAAGAAAGTAATTTTGCCTTGAATTGACAAATTGGGCTGTGTTTGTTGGTGTTTTCTTCCCCCTGATGGTGAGAGCAAAGCTGCATGTCTTACCTCAATTGCTGAGCAAATTGTTCAGTTAGTGTCTCTTGTCACACAGGAAAGAACAGTGATTGTACGAGGAGGGGAGTTTGAGCTCAGTTTAATTAACTTGTGAATGGGCAACCAGCAGTGTTTGGAGTGATACATTAAGGTAGGGAAGAGCTTTTAGATTCCTCTCAGCATCAGAGAAACTTTGTGTTTTGTTTCTGTTGCAGGTGAGTGCAGCGTCTCTTTTTATCAATGTGATGGGATCAGCTTTTGTCTTTTTCCCCTATTGAGAACCCCCCCATTGCAAGGTCATAGGTGACTTTGATGCCCTGATACCTGGTGTCTGTAGGGAGAAATCCAGTTTTGGTGGGGAAGGTGCATGACCAGTCATTTGAGAGATGGAGGGATCCCAGTGAAAATGGTTGGAGATACAAACTTCCCACCCAGTCATGTTGAATAAGAACAAATTTCTGCCCAAAGGTCATTTGAAAACCAGTTTTTATTCAACATTCCAGATAACAGATTTTTACTTTCTACTTCTGCATAAGTAATTAAACCAGACTTCTGCTAACACCTAGTTTGCTCACAGTCTTTTAAAAACAAAAATCTCTTTGATCAAATCTGTTTAGCAGCACATTGTAGGGGCTGGAGAAGGCCAGGCTATTAATGTTCAGTGTTGCTTTGTTAAAATAGCACAGGAATTTTCAGTGTTAGCAACCTGTGGAGCAGATGCACAGGGTTCTTTTCACTTGGTCACTTCACCTGTTAAGTTTTAACTTCATTCAAATCTGAGAAACCAGTGAGAGGTTATTAATATAGGAAAGCTTGTATGGCCATTCTCAGTCCGTGAATATAAGCAAGATTTATGGATCTGAGCATTACTAGTTCTACAATTTTAGAGATCTTTAATTGCAGTCAGTGCCATTCCCTCAAAAATACTTTGTTTAATAAAGCTTTGTACATGCAGTATGCATTTTTCAGGAGCTTCTCTTTCTTTTCTTATATGTCTAGCACCATGAAGTTTATTTATGTACCTAAATGCATGCTGTTTGATTTTAATTGAATAACAGTTTCATTCCAACTAGAGCTTATCACTCATCACCAAAAAAAAAAGTAGTAATTTAGATTTAAAGAATAGTTTAATCAGGTTTGCTTCAAAAAGACCCTAAAAGTACAAGTGTAATGGAAATTAAAATTATTATTTAAATTATTTTTCCTCTGACTAACTTCAATGATGATTAAAGTTGCTTGTGTAAATCTATTAATTGGATCAGGCCAATCCTGCTATGAGTTCCCTACTGTGCAGTCTCAGCCTGAAGGTAGCTGACAGTTGGGATGATGGAAATACCTAAAGATGCTGGTAAGGGAGGAGTCAGATCTGTCATTCCTACCCTGCTGTGTGTAGCAAGAGTCACATTTCTGTCACATCTGAGACCACTGAACCAGGGGTGTAAAAGCACTCTGTTGTTTATGCTGGAACCAGAGCAGGATGCACGCCCAAGTAAGCAAATGGGCTGAGAAGCGCAGATAATGTTGGCCTTGGTTAAAAAGCACTGCCTTGGAGTCCCCAGGAAGATGTGCCTGTTCCTGACACTCACCTGGGCTCTGGCTGTGCCCAGAGCCAGCCTGGCTGCCACCACCAGCGATGTCCCTGGGCAAGCTTGGCATGTGCTGGCAGCCCTGCTTCATCTCACCAGGGCTTTGGCAGCTTAGGATTTGTGTAAGCAATGCCAGCTGTGAGGAAAACTTATGAATGGCACTGTGACACCTTGAGGATTCAGAAAGAGACCCAGCTTTGCTTCCAGGTGAGACTGCCATTGGGGCCCAGACCAGTTCTCCAGCATGAAGGGGCAAGGGGAGGTTCCTCCTTCTGCCTTCATGGCTAGGGCTCAGTCCTGAGAGTGTGGGTAGTGCTGGTTGGAGGAGAAGCTCTGTTAGGGCCCTTCTCTGTTCTCAGGGTACTCAGTTGTGCTGCCCAATGACACAGCCTGCTGGATTCCAGCTTGTCTGGCTGATGCATCACCTCTCCTTTTCTCATCTTTCAGGTTATTTCCAGGATTTGTTGAACAAGTCAGAGAAGGCCCTTTATGATGCCTTTCCAAGCCTGTACGGAGAGTTGTACACTCAGAACGCGAAGGTGTTCAAGGACTTGTACAGCGAGCTGCGCCGCTACTACCGCAGCTCCAACATCAACCTGGAGGAGGCCCTCAACGAGTTCTGGACACGGCTGCTGGAGAGGCTCTTCAAGCTGCTGAACCCCCAGTACCACATCACAGACGAGTACCTGGACTGCATGGTCAAACACGCCGAGCAGCACAAGCCCTTCGGGGAGGTGCCCCGGGAGCTGAAGCTGAAGGCGACGCGAGCCTTCATCGCAGCGCGCTCCTACGCGCAGGGCTTCCTGGTGGGCAGCGACGTGGTCAGAAAGGTGTCCCAGGTATGCTGCTGCTCCCCTCTCCTCCATCCTCACCTCTTGGGAGGGGGGGTTGTTTTCCCTTGTTTTCATTGCAAAGCAAGCAGATGCTTCCCAGTTTTATAAAGATAACTACTCGTGTATTGTAAATCAAAGGTGACTCCAGCAAAGGGGAGAGATGTGACCATGGTCACAAGGGTTTGCAGGATGAGAGAGAGGTGAGAATGTTGACTCCATGATCAGAAGGCTTGATTTATTATTTTATGATGTATATACTACATTATTACTATACTAAAACGAAAAGGAAGGAAAAGTTCTCAGAAGGCTAGCTAAGCTAAGAATAGAGAAGAATGATAACAAAGATCTGTGTCTCGGCAGAGAGTGAGAGCAGCTCTGCTGTGAGTGGTCAGTAAATCCAAACATCCACAGGAGACCAATCCCAGATGCACCTGTTGCATTCCACTGCAGCAGATAACCATTGTTTACATTTTGTTGTTGAAACTTCTCAGCTTCAGCAGGAAAAATCCTAATGAAAGGATTTTAATAAAAAGATGTCTGTGACAGAGAGAGGATGATGCATCTGACTCCATCATAGAAGGCTAAAGAATTACTGTATTATACTGTACTATGTCCATTGTATCTAAACTGACTCTGCCCTGCACTCACTCTCGCTCACAGCTGCTCACCCTGCACTCACATCTCATTCTCTGGTGACTGTCCTGTGACAGTCCCACACACACCTGGCCCTGACGGGCCAAAGGAACAAAGCATCCTCACTTTGGGTGAACAGTCTCCACATTGCATTCTACTTTGGCACAACACAGGCACAGCAAGCGAGATCAGAATTGTGTTTTCCTTCTCCTCTGCTTGTCCCACAGCTTCTCTCTGCTCAGAGGGCAATGTGAATACCACACTCAAGGGTTACCCATCAGTGGGAGGGAGCAGCAAACCTGGACTTCTGCAGGCACTGCCAACAGCACTCAAACACTGAGATGTAACTCACAACAAATCAGTTTTTGCCTCATTTTAACCCCTGCAGCAGAGATGTCACTCAGCCAGGCTGTGAAGCCACTCTGCTGCCTGCCCAGATCACTTGTGCTTCCTGACGTGCCTCTAAATCACACTGCCATGTTTTCCTCCTTGATGGGCATGTGTGCAGAGCTGGATGGCCACGAGTGTGCTGGGAATACCGGCACAGGAATGTGTTTCAGAGGCTGGCACTGGGATCCTGTGGCTGTTTATGTAGCCTGGCTATTTGTACAGCTTCTGTGTACAGAGAGGGGGAGTTTGTAAAGTGCATTGGGATCCTCAGGGATGAAAGGTGCTATATAAATGTAAATTAATATGACTGAATCCAGGGTTCCAGAAGAAAGGAAATTGTCTGTATTCTTTACTGCAGAAACAGCCTTTCAGAGCCAGAAGAAAGTGATTGTCCTGAAACAAGATAGTCAGGCTTTCCACACAGGTAGCAAGGAGAAAATCCATCATAAAAAAAAAAAGGCTTGCATGCCTTATGTGGAGATGGGAATCAGCAGGTGTGAGAATCAGGGTGTGATGAAGCTGTGGATGCAGAAATGCAGAAGCACAATTCAGCTCCTCAGAAGGTACTGTGTGGTGACACGGAGCAGGGCACGGTCCCACTTAATGCAGCAAATCCAGGCTTTGATCTCAGGAAGGAACATTAATGTGGTAACAGTGACAAATGCTTTAATTTATCAATGTGGGACTATAAAACTGTTCAGCTACCCAAAAGCCTTTGTACATCTCATTAACATCACACTCTCCTGGCACTTAAGACACATAAAAGAGGAGAATGATGTAATTTCAGGGGGACAAAAGCAAAATACTTTTCATAAATCCTCTGAATGGCAGAGATTTCCAGCTCAATGGGCATGATCCTGCCTGTAGCTGAGGCTGGTGGGTAAAACAGGCTGGGAGGGAAACTGCAGGTATGGGATCAGCCAAGGGGAAGGACCTGAGATACCAACACGCAGCAGATTTTTCCCCCACCTTCATGTAGGCTTCTGGCCCACTGGATTTTGATTCTGGTTGCCCCTTTCTGAATTTTCCTTCTCTTGGGCATCACTTATCAAACAGGATGTGGGGAGCATGACAAGTCACAGATCCTCCTTTTCCCTCAGCTTCCTCCAGTCCATCCCTTCAGGATGGAGGGTTTTCCAGGAAGGTCCCAACAATTCCTCTCACTGGAGCCCTCCCTGGCACTGCAGTTAACCCAGTGTGTTGTTGTTGCATGAACTGAGTCAGAAAACCTCAGCACAGCCTTCTTGAGAGCTGATTTTGTTATGAGGACCAAAACTGGCTCATTTTCCCTGTCTTCTTTACCACCATTTTAGTTGTGGATTTACACTTGTGTCAAATAGATGTGGAGTGCTTGACTCAACCCACAGCTGGTGCCTTGGTTCTAGTAATTTTTCATGTTGTTCTGTACTTGTGACATCAGAAGAAGGTCAGAAACTGGAGTTCAACTTTCCTGTCAGCTGGTAGCAGCAGTCTTTAAGTTGGAATTTCATACGGGGCACTGGCGAGGGTTTTGGTCAGGAGGACTGAGGGGGCCTGTTGAAATGAACACCTAGAAATAAATTAGCTAGCTTTGGACTTCAGGAAAAAATAGATTTTATTTATTTATTTATTTGCGAATCCCAGGAAAACTATTGATTTCTACTCCTGGTTTCAGCTTCTGGGACACCTCCAGTTCAGTGTATCCTGTCCCTGTCTCAGGTCCCTGTGCAGAGGCAGTGTCACTGGGCACTCCAGAGAAGGGCTGATGCTGTTTGCCAGAGCTCCTGGCTGTCTTTAAGTGGGGGAGAGCCTCCCTGCGTGAGCTACAGGCGTGGATTTCAGGAGATTTCTTTAATCCCTGCTCCCTCTTCACTGTTCCCACAGGGTGTTTCTTCCCCAGCCTTCAGCTGCCCCAGTCTCAGAGGAAGCCCAGGGATAGGAACAGGAGCCACGTGTGGGAGCAGCCCCTCTGAGACCTGCTGGGCATAAATAGTTTGAGGGCAGAGGAGGAGAAAATGGCAGAGCCATTTTTCATCTTTACTGCCATCCAAGCTTTCAAGGCAAAGTCACCCTGACAGACTGCAGGCTCTGACACCAAGTCCTAAAACTTCTGATTGGTGCTTGCTGCACTGACCTGGCCTGGCACAGAGAGCAGGGGCAGTGCTGCCATCTGGGCTGGGACCGGGCTGGGCTTGGTGTGGCTCCGGCAGGGCAGGATGGAAGTGCAGGCTGGCACCCTGCCCTGACACACAGTGAGGGCATGCCTGGGGGGTCAGGGCAGCACCTCTGTGTTCATGGGCAGGTTCTGTGTTCCTGTAGCTGTGCTTTCAGCACAAATTGCAGGATTTCATCTAAGTTGCACAATGCCAAGTGAGTTTTTCATCGCTGGCATGAAGTAGCAGCCACCAAAACAGCAGCAGCCACAAAATCCCCAGTGCAGGGCACTTGAGGAAGGAGTTCCCCCAGGGATGCTGCGTGCCAGGGTGACAGAGAACACATCTCCCAGTTCTGTTTAGGATCCTGGTCGTTGGCTGTGAGATTGGCAGCTGCCCAAAACCAGCATTTGCTCCAGCTCTGAGCATCATGCAAACAGGAGAGGGGCTCGTGCTGGTGGAGTCGCTGCCTGCCAGCTGCTGCCCTGAAACCCTCACTCACTCACTGCTGCCCTGAGCTCCTCCCTCCTTGCTGGAGCTGCTGTGCACACTCCTGGGACAGACATGCTGGAAGTGACCTGGGATGCTGCAGGAGTGGGAGAGCAAAGCTGGGACAGAAGGAAAGGCAAGGGCTGAGAGGTAACCCTTGATAAGCAGCAGCAGAAAGCCCTGAGGGAGAGGCAGGGTGACAAACAGTGGTGGCTGTGACCCTGGCTGGGTTTGTCCCGTGCTGCTCTCACTGCTCAGCCCCCCTGGGTCAGTGGTGCTGCAGAGTGCCCTGGGGACAGGGGCACACAGGGCACTGCCCAGTCTGTGCTGCATTCCTGCATCCCTGGGCACTCAAGAGAGCTGCCCTGGGCAGGCCAGAGTGCCCAGAGCCCTCCAAGCTCCCTTACAGCCCTGGTGACAGCCTGTGCCTGTCAGGAGAGCACACACGTGATGTTCCATTTCCAAAGGCAGCCGGAGGAAGTGATTTGAAATGAATTTTGCTTATCAGTCAGAAAATGAGTTATTACGACAATCTTTCCTTTGCTGGGTCTTCATTGGTTCTTGTTTCTAAATTTTAAGTTTTCCCAAGGTAGTGGAGATTGATGTGAAGCAAGACCAGCTACATAAGCAAGAAACATTTACTCAAATAATCGATTTTAATTGCTGTTTGCATTTCCTTTTCTCAGTAGATGTTCTTAAGGCTGGTTCTCATTTGAGTTTGAAACAAAATACAATGATTTTCTTTATAAGCTTTTTCACTAAATGCTGTATTTCATTTCACCAATGAAAGTTGAAGTCAGCTATCAGTACATTTTTATTTAGCCAATACTGTGTTTCACAACCTATTTCAGTCTTATTTTTTTAAACTTTTCTGTTAGTATAAGGTACATGGCAGCTTTTCTATTTACCACATGAGTAATTTTTAAACACATGGTGGGTCAGTCTGGAAACCAAATTCCAATTAAAAAGTCCTAAAAATAGATTTTTAGAAATGTTTTTAATGGTTAAGTGAATGTGCTGATAGGACATATGGAAAATAATGTTTATCTAAACATGTTTTGCATTTCCAACAAGTCAATAACATAACAAAGACAGTATGGTCCTCATGTCCTTTAAGACTGCAGCCATCTTTCATACCCACTGTTTTCCACAGCTTGAAAGGACATATTTCACTTCTGTCTTTCAGCTTTCAGTTGCTTTTCTGGTGAAGTAGAAATAAAATTGATCTTACTGAATGAAACAAAGATAAAATCTTCTTCTCCCACCTATGAAACCCTTGTGCTAAAGCATCTCAAGATCAGTGAACTCTGTTGCCATGGCTTGGTGGGACATCTCCATCCTTTCAGTGACTGATCTTTTTTG